ACTGTAAATGACAAATTGAGGGAACAACCAATAGCATGTAGTAGTAGTAGTAGTAGTAGTAGTAGTACATCCTGCCAAAAATATACGCAATGTTGTTCGGTTCTACGACCTGGGCAAATTGATTGCAAACGTTTCGCCACCATTCGAGGTGGCCCCTTCTGTGCGCGATTAATAGCAGTTAAGTAGCAGTAGCTGGTAGAAAGAAAACCCAATAATGGATACAGTCAGCAACCAGTTCGTCCCTTATATAGGCATACGGGGCTATTAAGTTTGCCTCGTTCTCATTGGCGAATTATTGTGTTCAGCGATCGTGCTCGAGTCATTGTCATTGGTCGCGAAAATGTAGTTGCGACGTGCTTGGAGTTATCGCGCTCGGATTGGTGCAACGGGTGTGGGTGAGCAGTTTGGGCTCACATTGACCAGGCTGTTCCGTATCTGTGTGTTGGCTTAGGTGCTTTCGAACAACGGTTGTTAATCCGCTTGAAATCTCTCTGTCTCATCGGTTGGTATATTGGATCGATATCGATATGCATGTTGATTGAGTTCGTGTTTGAGAACCATACCTCGAGAAACTCCCTCCCTTTTTGTGTTTCTCCTTCGGTCAAGATCTCTAGTTTGTTCCGGTCGAAGCGGTGTCCCTCTTCATCCACGTGCGCTGAAAACAATGAGGTTGCGTAATGTTTATTGCACGCTCTTTGATGTTCATGCATCCTTGTGGACAGCTTCCTTCCTGTTTGTCCCACATAGTGCTTTGCACAGTTTACGTAGTTTATTCTATATACGACATTCCGTAGTTCTAGTGTCCCTCGCTTTCCTTTTGGTTTTGACAATGTTTTCCTCAGGGTGGTGGTTGGCTTTTGGGATACCATGATATGATGTTTGAACAATCTGGCCGTCATTTCAGATACGTTCCATATGTACGGCAGCACTATACGTTTCGTCATAGCTGACGTAGGTTTGGTTTCTGAGGGCTTGCGGTTTAAGCATCTTCAGAGGAAACTGTGTTGGTATCCGTTGCGTTCAAATGACATGAACAAGTGCTTTTCTTCTGCTCGTTTCGCATCTATCGTATTGCAGTGAGTTGCTATTCTACGGAAAAGCGTATACACACAGCTTATTTTGTGACATCTTGGGTGGTTGCTGTTGAAATTTAAAAGCTGATGATGTGCGCGCTTTTTCTGTAAAATAATGTTTGCAATTCGCCGTCCATTGTTATCTCTACTAGCACATCCCAAGAAGAAGTTTGTTGTTTTTCTCTGATTCCATGGTACATTGTATGCCGTCCATAGCGTCGTTGAGCAGTTGTTGTGCAACCGATACTTGATTACGTTTGAGTATCACAAACGTATCATCGACGTAGCGAACCCAAATTTTCCGATTAATCACTGGTAGCAGATCCTCTTCCAATTTTCGCATGACAATCTCTGCGATGAGTCGGGATACTGGTGATCCCATTGGTGCATCTTTCACTTTTTATACATTTTTCCGTTGAACGAAAAGTGTTGAGAGACATAAGTTGAGAAGTTCGCATACGCTTCTGGTCGTCATGTTGCCAATCCTCCCTCCGCCGTTGTCCAGACGTTCTGCGATAACTTTTTTGGCCAGTTGCAAGATGACGGAAGTGAATAGGACGGTTACCTCGAAGGGCACCATGGTTTCATCGTGTTCTATTAGTAGGTCTTTGAGCTTCGTCAACAATTCTTGGGCATTGTTTACGGAGTGTTGCGATTTACTGATTAGGTGTTTGAAGCGCCTCCATAGTTCCTTTGCCAGGTAGTAGGTGGGCGTGCCTGGAAGTGACACAGTTGGTTGTAAGGGTGCTCCATCCTTGTGTACTTTAGGTAGTCCATAGAATTGTGCAATGTTTGAGTCTCGAGCATTCATTTTTCTCGTTCCTCTCGCGATATTTCGTTCGACTGCTTAATCTTCGCCAACGCTCTGCTTATTTTGTTGCTTAGTTGCGACCTTGGGTCATTCTCAATGCATTGGTAGGTTGTAGTATCGTTCAGGAGCTGTTTCGCTTTATCGGTGTAATCTGCTTCGTCCATAATTACTGTTATCTGTCATTTGTCAGCAGGTAGGATAACAATTGATTCGTCCGATCTCAGAGCTTTTATTGCTTCTTCCTCTTGTCGGCGTAGAGAGTTGTATTGCTTTAAATGCGTCATGGCGTTGACGACTGTATATCTGATTTGTTTCTGTGTTTCATCCTCCAGTCTGTTGGACTGCAGAACGCTGTCAAATCGTGCCAGAAAATCCGTAGTTGTCACGTCTTTGTAGTTATAATTTAAGCCTGTGATGAGAATTTGTTCTTCCGTACCAGTGAGTGACCGTTTTGACAGGTTCCTGATCGAACCATTGTTGATGCATTCGTCTTTGCTGGTTGTCAGAGTGGTCACCTTCTGGTGAAGCGCAGTCTGCTTTTTTGCTTTCGTGTTTTTAGCTCTGCACTCTATGGCGAGTTGCATTACTAATATTCCAACTCATTTTGGACACCTACGATCGCTCAATGCTCCGCACTGCTCGTCGTTGGGAAGATTTTGATTGCCGAAATGCCTCCACAAGGCAACAGCTCTACTTCCTCCATGAATGCTTGCGAAGAGGCCTTTTCCCTTGCAGTGTCAGTTATAGACAACCGATGAACCATCCATAGGCATGGACGATTACGCGGCAATTCAGAAAGGGTATAGTACGAATGATGATCACAGACGCCCACAGCCGTACCAGAAAATATAAACGTTGTCCAAAAGGAACATCGAACCAATGGTTTCCAAACAATTGGGCAACAACTGACTGAACAAGTGCAACTCGTTCAAAGACCCACGAATAGAACACGATGAAACCATGGTGTCCTTCGAGGTAATCGCCCTATTCACTTCCGTCATCTTGCAACTGGCCAAAAAAGTTATCGCAGAACGTCTGGACAACGGCGGAGGGAGGATTGGCAACATGACGACCAGAAGCGTATGCGAACTTCTCAACTTATGTCTCTCAACACTTTTCGTTCAACGGAAAAATGTATAAAAAGTGAAAGATGCACCAATGGGATCACCAGTATCCCGACTCATCGCAGAGATTGTCATGCGAAAATTGGAAGAGGATCTGCTACCAGTGATTAATCGGAAAATTTGGGTTCGCTACGTCGATGATACGTTTGTGATACTCAAACGTAATCAAGTATCGGTTGCACAACAACTGCTCAACGACGCTATGGACGGCATACAATGTACCATGGAATCAGAGAAAAATAACTAACTTCCTTCATTGGGTGTGTTAGTAGCCAGTACAATGGACGACGAGTCTATAATGCTAGGGTACGAGTGATTCTGCTGTACGTCTGTGAGACTTGGCCCGTTCGCAAAAGTGATGTTCAGCGGCTAGCAGTCTTCGATCCCCACTGCCTGCGAAGCATTGCTAGTGTTCGATTGCAGCACCACATCAGTAATAAGTAAGTTCATCAGCGAGCTTTCAGACCTAACGAACTCCGCTGATCGATTGACAGCATCATCTCACTGCGGAGGCTTCGCTGGCTTCGTCATGTGTTTCGCATGCCTACCCAGCGGCTACCACGACGAGCCCTATTTGCGAGCACAGGCGACGAAAAGGAGGGCAATGTAAAACTTGGATCCAATGTGTTAAGGCGAAAAGGTTGAAGCTGGCTGCTGTCGAGTGTTCCCATCTCCCGAGCACACCTACTTACAAACGTTGCAGGATTTGGCCAAGGACCGTACGCAATGGCGCACTTGCTATGAAGCTCTTCTACCCTAGCAGTTGGTTTGTCTTGCATGCTATCTTTTTTTCTTCTTATGTGTTTTGGCACTCAGTCAATTATTTTGTACTTGGTATAGTGTTGAATATATATATATATATATGTATATATATAACTATCTTTGCAATTACCTACGTTGGTCCTAATAAGATAAGTTTCTTTCGGGGAGGCAGCTGCAGCTGGCGGATGTGGTTGCTAATAATGACCTCAGTAACACAGAAGGTGCGCTCCGTGGACAGGATCAAACGCCTGCTATTCATCATTTAACAATAACATCCTAAAAAGTTAGCTCCAAGAATGTTCCTTTCAGGCGCGATGCTCAAATGTTCTCTTATTTGGCAGATTTGACTGTGCTTCTTGATGAAGGTCCAAGGATTGTACGAGTACTTAGTTCCATTTTGTTTGCAGATCAGTTGAACATTTTTGTTTGTCAAGAGTAAACAAGATCGTTACAAGCGCCAACGTCCACCGATTAAGTGTGAAGCTAATTATTCTTTCCTGCAATTATGCCTTTCACCCTATATGTTTTCCCTGCGGCTGATGATAACCTCTAAATAAGGGAGCAGTTCTGCCGCTTTACTTCGAAGTGACCTTCAAGTTAGTCCGAGCAGCATTTAAATGCGTCGCTAGCTGTATGATGCGCTGTTCGGATGAAAAATGTGCAGGATATCATCCACCCAGCTTTTGCAGTATGGCAGTTGAACAGTTTATTTAAGTATGCTTATTCTACTGTCATCCAATATTCACAGTTTATCGGTTCGCTAGCACTATGCAAAAGGACTGGTGGACGATAAGTAAAGAGATCGTTCCGATACAATTCTATTTATTCTTAAAGGTTTACGCTGAGAATTGCTTGCAGAAGAATTCAACTTGAACTAAATGTTGATCAGGACATTTAGTTAGATAGTTGAGCTGACAAATCAAATTAGGACCGCATATATAGCAATGCGTAAAGGAAAGGAGATCCCGAAGCATAACTATTACAAAGACCAGGAGTAAGGTAGATAATATTTGATTGCCTAACGTAGTCTTAGCCAGGGTAGTACTATTGAGCAAACGAATTGCTTTTGTGCGCACTGCCTAGGTTACTCTCTAACATAGAACAACCAATCACAAGCAAAAATACTGCTAGCTACGTAATAAATCCGATTTCTGGTGTCATAGTTTCACTAAGCCAGTTTACGAGCTTATCAAAATACTGAATAAAAAGGGTAAATAAGTCTCGACCAACCTTGTGAGCCCAAATGAAGACCTTCACTGAGCATGATCCAAAGCAGGACGAAACGGCGCCCATATCGGTCTGATAGGTGGCCTAACATCAGAGTGACCGGAGTCCCTGCAGAAATAGCCACAACATTGATTACCGTAGTAAGGTATGCGGTTTGTCCCTGAGCCCATTGCAGCTTTGTGTTGCCATGTTTATCTTCTGCGGGCTCGGTTCTGGGGCAGTGAGGAGTTAGTAAACCAGAGATCAAAATTCTATTCGGAGATTATTTGCATGTTAAAAATCCCATTTTCGAGTAAAAGGATGAATGTTTGCTAACTTTTATCTCTATCACAATTGTTTTGAAAAATTTGCTTTGAAAAATTTATCGCCATTTGCGTAAATTTCAATGAATGGAATTAAGTAATTATTGTGTGAAAGCGAATTTTAAACCACTGGTATATTTGGGTATCAAACAATTCGAACCATTCATTGATACTCTTGCCGTTACATAGGTTAATCAACGACGCTTTATATACTGTATCAAACAAGGTGGACGGGAGAAATAATGCTACGGCTTCGGCCTTCTCGTCTACTTTATACTCCTCTCAAGCATTTTTATCCTTATCGTCCCCTTTCAATATCACAATTATCCCTCCTATTTTCAGCCCGTCAATCCGCCATCGTGTCTAGATAAGCGTTTTGCTTCTGGTTTTGAGTCACCCGCAATCGCAGGACGCCGCTTTTGTCTAGTCGACAAGTCCATGTCTATTCAAACGGACAAGGTCAGTCCGGCCATTCCTAGTTGAAGTCCTTGATCTGCCCTAAGAATGGCGTTCATTAAAGTACTCATTTTATCGCGGGTTGGCCAACAAGCAGCACTTGCCCGAACAATAGAAACTCTATCGATTGATATCTGCTGAAACATTAGATGTAGCCTTAAGCTACGATCTCACGCAAGGGACACTGGCTGCAATTTCACCTTGCATTTGTCTAAAGATGACGCAGCTTCAAATAGCTGTCATGCCATGCACGCTTTTTTCTGAGTCACTGAGCTGAAGTTGTCCTGATCAACTAGATCCAAATCAACAGCCGGATGTGCGGAGTCGGAATGTTTGGCTTGGTCAAATCAATGAATTCGCGTGGGGATAAACGATGTGTGTTTGTCATTGTGGCCGACGCGCCCACAAAGTGTAGTGCTGAGTTATTGAGCTGTGACTTCTAGCACCAACCGAAGGAGCTCATGCACCGCAGAATAAGTAAGGATACCATGGTGCTTGCTGGTTATTTGAGTGCACAATTTTAAAACCTGTCCACAGATGAGCTTCATCTGGACGACGAACACCGTTAGACTCTAACAACCATAACGCTTAGCGACTGCTACACCTGAGTGAAGGTGGTTATCTATTTTTCATGAGCAGTTACTTCTGACACAGAACCCTCAGAGTGTTGCCATGATGCCCACCAGCCTTAGGCTAGTCATGGACGCAAATTGATCACATCCCGGTCGGTTGCCGCTGTAGAAATTGCGGCCAAAACTGCAGCACGCGAGGAGGGTTCCACCGGGCACTTTTATTTGCCGACTTGCGGTTACGTTCTGGTGGGCGTCCGCAACATTAACGTGAGCATATCGATACTTGCCATCTGGCGAAGTCTGGTGTTCTGAATGCGTATCAACTTAAGCTGGCATCCAAGCTGAGTAAACGCTCACTGAACAGTTAAAGATCGCTGGTCCCATATCCGAAAGACATTATTGAAAGCAGGCAGGTCATCATGTGGCACATCAAATTACTTATCTGGATATGGAGCCTATACACAATCTATGAAACATCAGTATGCTACGCGTTGTGTCCCGACTGCTAAGAGCAAAACGAGACTCGCTTAAATCCTAGGGCAAAACTGTTTGCCAGCCAGAAAAGAGGCCATAAATCCTGCTGATCTCACCATGCATCGGAGATAGGGACAACCGCTGTAAATTGTTATCATTGGAGTATATTCCGTCTTATACGGGAGACGGGCAACAGGAGACCTGGTGTTAGAGGGAATATACGCGGTGAGATTGGACGGCTAATCCACAGGTTGGCAACACGCTTGGAGCATTAGACCAAGCACTTGGCGAAACATTTTAATCAGTCAGATTTGTCAGCTTCTCTCTCCATCACAATGAGGCTGGACCTTACCGTTGTGTGATGGTTTGTATGCCTCAGAGATCCATTAAGCTATGATGGGTGGTGCTTTTTCTGCGCCTTCAGAGCGACTCATACCAGATTGGTCAATGGTTAGAGGCCAGACAAACTCAACCTCCTGGTCCTCCAGGTTGGGGGTTGGAATGAGGTAGCTCCTTATTCCTTAAAACGGACTCCTTGTAGCCCAACGCCAAATCCGCTGCCTTGCGGTCAGGTTTTTGAACCAGAGGCTTTGGTTGCGAACCCTAATCGTTCTGCCGTCCAGGTCTGGGCAACCTGACAGTATCCTGCCCACGGACTACAATGAATTACTCTTCAAACAGTTTCTTGATGCTCTGGCCACCGTAGAGAGTAATCAACGGTGCCCTATCCGCTACATCGAGTAGGGTGGATAGGTGTCTGGATGCTACTGCTCAAGCCTTCCTGTCTGCTTATTCCCCTTCTTACGCGTTTTCTCTCTTACCCTCCCGTTCCATCTTCACTTTTATCTCCCTGTTTTCAACCCCCAATTCTTGGCCCTCCCCCACCTTGCTTTGCTAAGCGTTTACCTTCTAGTTTCAACCCACATGTGAACGCGTATCGTCATTCCTGTCCTGTCGACAAGCCGATGTCCGACCAAACGGCCAAACCCAGTTCATCCACTTCTATTTGGAGGCCTCGATCATCCTTCACATTGGCATGATTCAATTTACGCACATTGCTACAAATCGATCAACCGGCAGCACTTGCCCGAAAATTAGAGACCCTCTTGATCGATATCTGTTGCTTCTCGAAGACTCACCTGTAAGACGAGAGCTCTGTGCTTACTTTGCGATCCTTTTCAGGTGGCACCAACAGCACTTTCTCATTGCGCCTATCCGGTGACGATGCCGCTTCGAGCACCCGCCAAGCCGGTGTTGGTATTGCCCTGAGTCTCCGGGCTGAAGCTGTTCTGGTTGACTGGATTTCAATCAGTAGCCGGTTGTGTGCGGTCTGATTGGCTGGCTGGTGTAAAGCTTCAAAGTCGCGCGGGACTAACAGGTGTCTATTCGTCATCGCTGCTTATGCACGCGCAAACTTTAGCGATGATTCGGTACAAGACGACATCTATCGCCAATTGAACGAGCTCTTTCGCCCCAGAAGAAGCTCGGACACCGTTGTGTTGGCTGGGGATCTGAACGCTTAAGTTGGATAGTTGCCCACTAACAAAATGCGTCTGGGTGGCCAACATGGCATGGGCTCCTGTAATGATAACGGTGAGCGGTTACTTCATTCGTGTGAACATGCTCGCTTATTTCTTGCGAGCACTAATTTCCGACACAGCACCAGCTGGAGGGTGAGTTGGCGCCCACCAACCTCGAACCAGCTGCGGACCCAAATCGATCACATTGCGATAAGTTGCCGTTGGAGACGCTGCGTCCAGAACTGTTGCTTGAATCGGAGCCCGGGTGTGGTCACCGGCCATGCATTTGTATGCGCTAACCTGAGGATGCGTTTTGGCGGACGCCTACGACGACGTTGTAAGCTCATTGACACCAGCCAGCTGGCAAAACCAACTGTGCTGAATGCCTATCATAGTACGCTGTTGTGCGATTTGAGTGAGCGCTCACTGGATGCAATTGAAGCTCACTGGTTTCATATTCACCAGTCTTTACTAGCAGCAAGCAAATCCTCATGTGGTACGTCTAATAGCCGACATGGACATTGAGCCGATTCGCAGTCTCTGGAAGTTATCAATGTTTGCCGGCACATTCCGGCTGGAAGCGAACACAATGAAACTCGCAAAGAGTTCCGAGCAAAACTTCATGCCAGCCTGAAGAGAGACCGCGAATCCTGGTGGTCTCATCGCGTAGCAATGATGGAAATGGCCGCTGCCCCCGGGAACCATGGCAAGCTATGCCGAATGATAGGAGAAACGGGCAGCAGGAGACCTAGAGTTAGTGAAACAATTTGTGACGAGATTGGACAGCCTATCCACAGCCTATCAAAACTCTTGCAGCGTTGGGCTGAGCACTTTGAAAAACAATTTACTCGTTTGGGATTGTTAGATTTCTCGCCAAACACTGACTGTCCCGCTCCGGGGGCTGTCACTTTGGATCCACCCTCTCGCTCAGAAGTCAAACGTGAGATCGGACTGTTGAAGTTAAATAAAGCCGCGAGACCAGATGATCTACCGCAAGCTCTCTTTAAATTCGGGGGCCTGCTCTTGTGGATGATTTACACGGGTTATTAGTAGTACGGAGTAGGAAATTGTCCCAACCGACTGGAGCCGCCCCGTCATAGTCCCAATTTTCAAGCGAGGCTCACGAGCGGAATGCGGCAACCATAGAGGAATCAATCTTATCTCCGTCGCCTCCAAATTGCTTGCCTCTGTCATCCTTCACAGACTGGTTGGCACCCATGGAAGCCAGATTCGTAAAGAGCAAGCTGGATTTCGTCGCGGTCATGGCCGCATTGACCACATCTTCACTTTGTGTCAGTTGGCGTACCGTCACCAATATTGGCGACCCACCGTTGTCGTGTGCCTCGTTAGCAATGATACATTCGATTCGGTGGATAGACGTGCACTTTGCGACTGTCTACTCAGGAAAGGTGTATCTGAGAAATATGTAAATATTATCCGAGCATTACACGCGTGTAGCTCAGGAAGTGTGAGGGCTTACGGCAAGCTGTCGTGGCCCTTTACTATTTCAAGCGTGTGAGACAAGGATGCCCGTTGTCACCTTTCCTCTTCAGCTTCACCGTTGTCGAAGTCATGGAAACCGCGTTCACAGAACACGACTTAGACGGTGTGGATCTGTTCCCAGGAGAACGACTTCTTGACTTGGCGTATGCTGACTATATTGCTCTAATCGGTAACAGCTCCTAAACGTGCTAAGCTGCACTGGACAGATTTACACTGGCTGTCCGTCACTTCGGGCTTTGCTTTTCACCATTCAAGTGCAAAGCTTTCTTCCAAGGTTGGCCAGGATTGCCTCCTATGCTGATTCTTGGTGGGGATCAGCTAGAAGTCGTTCAAATATTCACCTACTTAGGAACTTGTATCAGGGTCCGTGAGATTGAAGATGAGA